TTATTGCCTTAGACGGAAGTACGACTTACATGACAAAAATAAAGGCATAATAAGCTCTTTATATGGACTGTTAAGCACAACATTTATCCCACAGAGGAGAGTTTTATCTTTCCCAAATTTAATATCAGATTAACATTTCTCACAGAAATTTGGTCTGCACAGCACAAAGAGATGTGTGTCTGAAGACTCAGAGTCCAGATCTCACATGATCCTGAACAGTCCCAAAAAGCACTTCACAGGAAATCCAACTGGGAGACCGTGGCAAAGATCCCAGCCTTGATAGTTAGACAAGGCCATGCTGGGTGACCTCTGTAGCCTGATGCTGTGAGTCCACCTCTGCTCCCTTACTGATTTGTAGGGGACAGGACCACACTGGGAAGATTCCTCCTCAGTGCTTCTCATTCTTGACAGACCAAACACCTCCTATGTAAACCTCATGAACTCGTGTCTTTGCTCCTTCTTGACACTAGGATTTCTGCTCTTCCAGGGAAAACTCACCTTTTGTCTAGGAGGCAGACAATGTACTCAAGCAACTAAATTTCTCCAATTTTTCAGTTGCTCATGTGGCCAGTCTGCCACTGTGCAAACACTGGCTCTGACAGGCAGCCAAACCAAAACATGGCTGGGCAGTGCAGGCAGAGTAACAAATCCTCGTTCCAGTGAAGCAAATGGGAAAAGGATATCAGCTCATGATTACTGCTACAAGTTGCAATAAGATTTAGCTCCTCTGGTGCCCACATCAGTTTAGAAGGTAGGACTCTCAGCTGCAAATCAGGAAGAGATGGGTGTGCTGAGGGCAGTGGGAGAGGAGAACTATTCAGTATAGAAGAATCCTGGCCAACAGCACTCTGACCCTATTGATGATAATATTGTGACAAACTCCCTGAAAATTCTAAAATTAAAATATCAATCCCAGGAAGCACTATGTACCTAAGTGCAAAAAAAAAAAAATCCTGAATAATTGATCTGAGATCTTACCATCAATTCAGGTCAAATAGAACACATATACCTTTGCTTGACTCAAGTCCAATCCTGTTCTTCCACATAGACAACAGCACAAGTAGCTACTTGACTCCAGGGGCATCATTTGGAAGCAGAGCAGGACACACGAGCTCTCTCCCATCTCACCAGTGCAACCACTCTATGCTGGGACACTCAGAGCTGTCAGGGAAACAAGCCAGCTTTCTCTCACCCCAAGTCTTCTAATCTCTCGTTCCCAACATTATGCCTTCCATGCTGTCCAAGGAAGTATTCTCTTCTGATGAAAGTATTCCATCAAAGCCTAAAGAGTTCTCCTAATGCTGCTCTCATCATCACAGAGTTCTCACTCACAGGTTAATTAGTCCAGAAAGGAAACAAGACTTACTAAGTGAATTTCAAAGTTATCACAGAATCACAGAATATTCTGAGTTGTGGGAAGGCACCCCACAAGGATCATCAAATCCAGCTCTCAGATGAATGGCCCATATGGGTATTGAGCCCTCAACCTTGGCTTTATTAGCACCATGCCCTGACCAACTCAGCTGTCTTATCCTAGGCTATGACATGATAAAGGACACCAAGAATGCCAATATTCATCATCCCTACATAGGATCAGTTAGCTGAAATAACCAGCTGCTTAATAGAAATCAAACTTGAAGCATTCAAAAGTGATGAGAGTACGCTTTCCTTTAACTCCACGGTGAAACATTGACCATGTTACTCAGGTCCCCAGTTGTACATTTTCTTTTTCTGTACATTTTGATGGAACAATCAGGCAGCCCAGCAAGGGAGGAGAACACACATCAGTGGGCTCCACAGGAGCTGCAGGCAGTGTGTGCCCAGGATCTGGGCTCTCTGGAGCTCCTGCAGACAGACAGGAGCAGGGATATTTTCTCTAGGTCTGTCAAGTGGTGTCCATGTCTTTCCTTGAGGGGCTGTCTCCTGGTTTGGAAACAAGGAACAAGATTTCACAGGAACTATTTTCACTTTGTGGTTACTGTGACCTAGGAAGATGAAAACACCTTCCAGTGATGGAGTAACTGTTGTGAATATTCGAGTACCAGAGAGGGAAAGGGAGAAATCAGATGGAGAGCATGTCCACGTAAGCAAGAAAATAGCATGCTTCAGACCAAGTCCTTTGCAAAGAACAAGAATGATCAGGGAGGAATTTGTCCAGGACCAATAAATCAGGGAAGCCTGAAGGGCAAAGGCCAAAATCAGGAGGAAAGAAGTTAAAAACAGGATCACTTTAGGAGTGGATCAAATAAAATACAAATCATTCTCTGTTTTTTTCCTTATCAAATTACATTAACAAACTCTTGCCAGAACAGGCAATGTCTGAGCCATACTTCATCAGCAAGGAACAACCTGCTCAACCTCCGTTTCAAGGGAGAAGTGGGAAACTTTCTTTTGTCATTAGGTACACTCAACTGCATTGTTTTCTAGAAGTAATTTATTAGACTGCAATTAGTAAGGAAATATGTCTCCTCCTTTTCCTCTAAGAAAACCCAGATTAGTAAGGCTGGGGCTGCAATTCTATTCTTTATTTCCCAGTTCTGCCTCTCCAGGTGGCCACGCTTCCTTCTTGCAGGCAGAGTGACTCAAAGAACCAAACTCACTTCATTGTCATCTCCCAGAATGCTCACTGAATATGGTCTTCAGAAAGCAATTTAAATACTTTCAACTTGAAGCTGAAAGATTTTTAAGCCCTTCTGGGTGAAAAAACACTGGTCATCAAGATGCAACTTCTTGTTCAGTGCGGATTCTGCCACTAACTTCAATCCATCTAAAGGAAAAAAGTCCAGACAAACCCCCACCATACATCTTGTTAGCTTCTAGTTTAGCTTCCTTCCCTGACATCTTGTTATGCAGCTGACTTTGAGAGCAGCTGTCACTATGTTTTCAAAGCCAACAGCATTTTAGTTAGCAGAGCAGCAGCTGGGAGACACAGGAGTGAAGCAGGCAGGCACATGGCATGACCTGATATGGAAAAGTCACTCAGAAGCATCCCAAGTCCATTTCTCAGACTTGGAAACTGGAAACAATGTGCAGAGGCAATATACATGGGCTGGTGAAGGAAAAGGAAAGGATAAAGGAAAAAACACAAGCATGCATTCACTACCTCAGAGGCAGCTGGAGCAGCTGCCTGACCTTGAGCTGGGTGGTCAGTGTGGCCAGGCAATGGGAAAACAGTCAAAACTCAAGGCAAAAAGGAAAAGTCATTCTCACAATGGGATCAGAAGTGATTTTTTTTTTCCAAATTTCATCTTTTATAGGAACCCAGACCTGTGTATTGGTGGTTTGAAGACCCTCTCTGCGTCATGGTGGTTATGAAGTTGTTATCTCTCACAGACATTTTACCTTCCTGCCCCTTATGTCAGCACTATTCAGAGAAATGACATCCTTGATGTGATTAAGACAAGGATAAAAGAACACAAAGACAGGAGACAGCTGTAGTAATTTAACAATGCACTGAAAAAAACCCCAAAAACAAAAAAAAACCCCCAAAATAGCAACCTTTTATAGATTTTACAGCAACCTTGAGGTTTCCCCTAGGAAACATGCTGTTCTGCACGTGTTTACGTTTTGTGAAGTTAAGGGTGACCAATCTACTCTAAGGCCACTTAACTCTGCTACCATACCTCAGCTCCAGCCTGAACCACCTCAGCCTGCACTCTTTGGTTCATGCTCTGCTCTGTCAGCACAACCCACCTTGCAACTGGTGGCTCAAGCAGCACTTGAGCTGTGCCAGGAGCTCCTGGGCCAGGCAGGCATGTGCATCCTGCTCCTGTGCATGGTAACCATTGCTCTTCTTCCTGGGAAAACCACAGCTTGCCCTGTCAGGGCAGCAGCACTGCTGGCTCGATGCTTTCCCTGATCTATGAGTGACACATTCTTAGAATCATATAAGAGTTTGGGTTGCAAGGGAGCTTGGAAGGCCATCCAATCCAAGCCCCCTGCAATGAACAGGGACATCTTCCACTAGACCAGGTTGCTTAGACCCCGTCCAACCTGACCGTGAATGTTTGCAGGGATGGAGAATCCACCATCTCTCTTGACAACCTGCTCCAATTTTGCCACTCTCATTGTAAAATACTTCTTCCTTATACATTATCTAAATGGACCCTCTTTTAGTTTAAAACTGTTATTACTTGTTCTATAGCAATAAATTCCCAGGAGAAGAAATTACAAGCTCCCACTGGTCAGGGTGAGTGAAGTATTGCAGCAAAAGGACTTTCACTTTTGGCCAGCATCCAGGAGGAGGCTCTTCAGAAGCCATAACCACTAACCCTTTGTGTCCTCGAGAAAATAAACAGTGTATGTTGCAGTCTCTGGAAAACCTATTGAAATCACTGCCTGTTGTATTTTACCAACAAATATAAGCAATAAACTGTTGCCTTTCAGATCTAGGACACAATCCCATGACATTCAGCTCCTCTAGGGATGCAGTAACATTGACACATCCTTTTAACTATATTGAAGTTTCTCATTATCACATCTTCTAAGAAGAAAAGTGCAAGTTGATGTAATGAGAAAGAAAAATTATTGTGGTTTCACAATTAATCTCAAAAGGCCAAATGTATTAAAGAGAACACTGGGTCACTAGTGCTTTTGCCAAATGAATCCTTCATACACTTAGAGCTCATGTGTAATACTTACCTCATTGATTTATAAAAGCTCACAACCACTGCACTACAAATGAAAGAAATGATGTGGCCTTATGTTCAAATTTGCTTTATTTGGTCTTTTCATCCAGGAAATACAGAAAACAAGACAGACAATGTATCGGTAGAGCATGTTACTTTAGATAAAAAATAATTAAGAAACAAACATGACATAGACAATAACTGCAAAAAGTATAGAATGCACTGTTTTGATTGACTGAGGTTATTTTTCAAATCTGAACTAAACTGCAGCTTCAGTGGTCAAAAATACTTCTGTAAATTTATTTCAAACGTTTCGTTCAAAATCTTCTTTTAAAAAGAAAAAATATCTCAAAACACCTTAAAAGCCCCATGAATTCCCATTTTCTGTTCAGGAAGGAAGCAAAGTATAAATCAAAACTACTAAAAAGCACCCCCACCACAAAAAAAAAACCAAAACAAAACAAAACAAAAAAAACCACAAGGGACCAGTTGGTGTTTTAGTTGGATCTGATTTTTTTTTTAATTAGAAAAAATGAAATGTACAAATAAATAATTCATATTGTGCCTACAACAGTGGAACCAATGTCACCCCTCATATCCTCAGTAACACAAGCAGACAGACACAGAAAACTTTTTACCAGACTCTGGAGAGGCCACTGCTCTAGAAGTAGCAAAATATTTGTTCTGAACACTGAGTCAGTCCTAAGTTTTAAATCTCCATTGTTGATATTTCAGCCTGATAGTTTGTACCCTTAGTAAACAAATGACATAAAAGGTACAACCCAAAATGCTGAGCACTCTGGTAACATGGAGTATTTCAGATGCATAAATGCTCATCAAAGCCAAAAGAAAAGAGAATACTGTTAGTGATCCTGATACAATGACAAACTTCAGATAGAAGGGAGACTGAGAAACACCTGAAACCTTAGCGCTCATCAGCTGAACAAAACACCACCAGAGGACCCCCTGCAGTCCTCCCATCTGTTTATCCTGTCAATAAAATGGACCACTAAGGCATACCCAGAGGTAGGCTTGCTTTTAGCCATCTTTGCCCTGTGGGGCAGGCACAGAGCCCTGCAAAGGTGCTCAGAGGCTGTCGTGGTTTAACCCCAGCCAGCAACTGAAGCACCACACAGCTGCTTGCACAGTCCCCCAGGAGGGAAGGGGAGAGTTGGAAAGGTAGCCTCATCCTAACTTCTATCCAGAAAATTAACTCTGTCCCAACAAACCCAAGCACAGAGGCAGAGGATACGTGGAGCCTTCTACCCCTCATGAAGATGAGGAGCTGCTGGGCAATGCCCAGGGGTGCATGGTCCTCCTGAGCAGCAAGAGGGGGTCAAGCACGTGGGATTTGTGGGAAGAATGGAAATGGCCAGATCAGCAGGCTTGGGCTGGCAGTGATGAGCAACTTGGGATGGCAGGAGAGGAACTCCAATCCGGCCTGGGACAGGAGCAGAATTAGGTCCAGCTCCTAAGAATAGTGCAGTGCATGCTATCAAAAACATAACAAATCAGTAAGCTCAGTCTCTGTAAGACTGTCAACTGATATCATTGCAGCCACAGTCGTGACACAGGATAGTGAGTGTATGACATCCCACCCAATTAGGTCCAGACATGGAATAATGGCTTTTGGCCAGCTAAGCAATTTATCTGTGTTTAAAAAGACACAATAAAAATGGATGAAGACAGGAAAGACTACTCTGAACAGTGCATAAGATAAGCACAAAAACTGTTGATGAAATCCATGCCTTTTGACAGCTCAGCAAGGAGTAGGATAGGGTATTAACAGAAAGGAAAGATGGAGAAGACAATGCTCCCACTACTGGCCTTTGTTACCCTCTCCTCCTCACTTATATATTTAACCCCACCACACACATCACTAAAAAACCCCAGAAAACACAGAAGAAAACATCCCAGGATTAGAAAGAAGTCAAATAAAATAAATTACTTATATATTATACAAATTAATTACAATTCTTCCTTCCAAACTGTGGCTGCTACTGCTTTTATGTAGTCACCTGCTTGGAGACCTATTGCTCTTCCCCAATAAATTTTGGCAAATCCTGTGTGGTTTGAGACCTGTGATTTGAGTCCAGCAGGTCTTTCCAGACAGAGAAAAAGGAGTTGGAACAGCTGAATAAGAGGAGAAAAACCAGATGACGGGAAGAGAGTGATAAACTCTCAGAATTGCTGCAAGTGAAATTGCAGACAGATGTTGGCAAAAATTAAATCCCCCTCTACTGCAAGAATAATTAGGGACTGGAAGAGAGTCTGCAGAGCTTCTGTCCATGGATATTTTCAAAACTCAGCTGGAAGAAGGCAAATCCATTTTGCCCAGCAGCAGTACCAAGAGTGGCATGAGCAAAGAAGGTTTTGCCTGACAAAATCTCCTCCTTTGCAGAGCAGCAGACCAAGTGGTCCCTCCAGTCCTACATTTTAAGGGCCTAGACCAGATAACAAATGTTGTATTAGTCATTTCAGTGATCATCTCAGCCACCAGATAGGGCAGTGTATATGGGGTCTTCTCCTTTTTTTTGCTGCTGCTTTCCAGCCAGTCAAGTCACTATGTGTAATGTTGATTTCAGGCTGCTGGCTTCTAATAATCTGGCAGATGGATGGAAATCCTCAAGGATCCTAGAAAACACAAAAACAACCCCAGAAAAGGATAAGTCTTTGCTGCCTCAGGTTTTGCTTAGCAGTGTAGTTGCTGTTGGGACAGGAGGAAGAGAAATGCACAGTGGGGAAAGTGGGGAGCAGCAGTTACAAACCCACTCTTTGGCGAACAACTTCCCTGCTTTTTTAATTCTGGAAATCACACACACTGTGGAATTCAAAATATAACATACGGAATACACAAAACCCTGAAAGGATTTGTAAACTGTGAGAAGTAAACCAACTTTCTTCACTGGTAATAATACACCAAAAATTAATTAATACATATATATTGAGTATGTAAGTAATTTGATATTTCAGAATATCTTTCATATGTTTGAGATTCAGTTTGCAACTCTATCTTTACATGGCTTTGAAGACAATAATAAAATATATGGCATCTTTACTTTTCATGTAGAGGAGTATGAAAGAGGTTCCTCATCTAATAAACCTGCATTCATACAAAGTATTTTTTAAAGTATTTTGGAATCAAGTATATAAATAATTCTTACCAAGGAAGTGAGTGAGAAATTGAAACAGCGAGGCAACATATTATGGGAATGCTATTTGTTCTCCCTTTCAGCTGCCAGCCTGAATTTTATTTTCTGGTTATATACAAAGCCCTATTGTTGGAATGAAAAGGAAAAGAAAAGACCAGAAAATTACTTCATAATGAAATATGAGCACAAATATGATGCACAGGATAGAAACTGTACTAGTCACATGTCCTAAAAGCCTCCCTGTTTGCAAAGAAAGGGCTTTGTGTTTTAGTAGCATAGACTTCAGTGCCTTCCCTTTAGATGTGCAGGACAAATTCCAAGATGTTTCTTACACCACCACTTTTATTGTGTCATAGTAAAACAGGATTTATTTCATCCTTCCAAACAAAAACTCTAGCCACTGCCCTGGAGACCAGTGACCTTCCCCTCCTTCCTCCTCTGCCACTCCCTTTTCCTTGCTCTTCTAAATGAAAAACAGGATAAGGAGTATCCCAGCTTTTCCCAGAAAAACATCTCAGGGAAGACAAATGCCAGCCATCCCTGTCCTTCACAATGAAAAAAAAGTAGCACTAAAGCATGGAAAGCTTGCAAAGTGTGCCCATCCTCCCTCTGTGTGAGATACAGACCAGAGGGACATTTCTGGGAACAGAAAATTAGATGGAATTACTAAGGAACAGGATCTATCTGGAAACAGTGTGTAATTAAACCTAGAGAACATCTTCAGTTGCAAAATATTTATGTCTGTGGGAAACCTGATGGTCAGCTTTACAGCATAATTACCCTTTCACTGACATTTTTGTCATGAGGGTTGTTGTTTGGTTTTTTAATTCCCCCCCTCAGTAGCTCTGTTTAGGTCTGTTTGTCTATACTGTTTTTACACTGTGGCATTTTTTGGGTTTTGGGATTTTTGTTTGATTGATTAGCATGGGTTTGGGGATTTTCTGGTTTAGTATTAAGAAGGGCAAAGGAATGAGGCTGTTGTATATTCACAGTATTTTTTTTCTGTTTTGCACGAATTCAAAATAGGACGAATATAATCTCCTACTCCCATTAAAGCCCACTTGAGAGGAAACCAAGGTTACTCTAAAATGAGTCTCACCAGCTGGGATATGACTGCTAGAAACCCATTCATATCCATCATGTCATATCCATCTGCCTCATGAAACAGGGAGTTATATCCCAAATTTATCATCTGAAAGTCTGATATTTCTGGAAGTGGTCTTCTCTGGAAATATTATTCTGAAAATTCTCCTAAAACCAAGCTGCTACTATATTGGTCTCGACTACAGAGTCTCTTGCTAATAAGAAACCCAGATGTCAAAGCAAACACTGAAGAAACACTATAAGTTGTAAGATAAAATAAGAATTGTTGGAATTTTTAAGCTAGAGTTTAGAAACAGAGCCTTCCCCAAACTGAATACAGACTAGAGGATACTGCTATAATGACTCTTCCAGATTTACTATCTTTACTATAAACAAAGCAATTATAAGTGTAGCCAAATAATTGTTCTTATGAACTTTCCAAAAACTGGAATTCCTGCCTAGTACTTATTTCCCAGCCTTCCAGGACATATTTTGCCACCAAAATTTGAGTTTCTCGTATCCACACATTATAGCTGATCAGCCAAGCTTCTATTTTACACTTACCAGACCTGACTCTATTTGTAGCAACTATCAAATTCAAAAGGTAACAATCAGGGAATCTTAATTTCCTATTCAGGGTATTAAGTGATCTCCAGCTTGTAGCAAAGAGGTATTTTGTTTTGGAGTACTTGTTTAACATATTAAGCACATTGATGTTCAGCATTTTTTGGGTCACAGAGAGCTGGCTGTGCTCAGACACGAACAGAATCATAGAATCATTAAGGTTGGAAAAGACCTCCAAGATCATCAAATCCAACCTTTGACTGAACACCACCTTGCTAAGCAAACCATAACACTAAGAGGCAAAGGCAATGCTGCTTACATCTGAGTTCCATAAAATCTCCACTTGAAGGAGAGCCTGAATGTTTTGATTTCCAAACAGGAAAAACACATTTCTATGCTGGTGCTTTCTGCAGAATGGAATTTTTAGTCTGGTCTAGTCCCTTCTTCAATGACTCTTCAAGTTTTCTTCTTCCAGGCTAACTTACCCTGTCAGCTTTCTTATCTATTCAATGTCATACCTACTCAATTAGAAGCCCCATTTTTTTCCCCTCTTGTTACAGTTTTTTAAACACAAACATACTATCTGAATATTTCTGAAGCTTTCAACATTGCAAAACCTGCATAAGCTACCCAAGAGGGATCAACATACCAATTCTTAAAACCAAATTTAAAAAGCCCCCAAAATATTCTGGCCTCTATATGCACCTGTGAAGTAGTCCTTCCTCACAGTTTACCACAAGCCTCCAGAAAAAATGTATGCGTGAAATTTTATCCTGCAGACTGATACATCTTAAGAATTAATGATAAAGCTTTTTAATTGGTCAGGCTGAAATATGAGTATCCTGCAAGCCACGAAATAAGCAAGTGATGCTGTGGAAAGCATTCAAGTGAAGACGGATAAATGACAGGTAAGTCACAGGAATTTATTCAGGCTAATAGCCTTTAATTTTGCTTCTACACAGGCACTTGGCTTCTTAACTGGACTGCTTTATCTCAGTGTGGTCTGGAGCTAAGCTCTATTAGTTGAGCAAGGAATGAAAGGATTTAACTTTTTATCAGATGAGTAGCACCAAGAAACTTCAGGCATGGGAGAATTTATGCCTGGTGATTCTTTCAGCCTGCTCATTGCATTGACATTGAGTGATAGGCACAGCTGGGTTTGCCTGCCCACTTGGTAGAGAATGAAATGTGAATTTTCCAAAGATTGTGTGTCAGCACTTGCCACAAAGGCTGCTCAGTTGGATTCCAAAGAAGTCACTAATCCACAAATGTTGTGAAGACACTTCACTTGGGACATTTTCTGGGAGAACAAAAATGTAGGTATGCTCTGTAGCTGGTACACAAGGCAAATGCCTGAGGAATGGGACATCAACTTTCAGCCCCAGATACCTGATTCCCAAGTATCTACCACGAAGAGGAAGGGAACAACAAAAATAAAAGCAAAGCAAAACTTAACCATACTCTCAAAAGCAAAAGCACTTGGAAGAAACTTTGTCAGAAAAGGCTTCCCATCTACCCAGATGAAAAGCTACTGTTTTACTTTAAAAACTGAGCATCTTGGCAAGCCTGGAAAGGCTGTTCTTGTTATCTAGTGCAGAATAAAAAGAAGTACTTTAGTACCAGACAGACTCTGGTATGCTCGAGCCAGCGCTTTTAGCTCTCTATTGTGCTGTAGGCGCTGCATCTCATTTCACCAGTCTGAGAACAATAGAGGACAAAACCAGAAAAGGGCTTTCTGCAAGATAGTTCTGCCTTTTTTGACCAACTGCAACCAATGCTTTAAAAAGCACACACATATTTTACAGATGATCAAGGGAAAAACGAGTCACCACAAAACCAGGATAAGAAATTTAGGGGATTTCCTCATCACAATACTTTTGGAGTGGTAAATATAGTAAATAACACTGTAAATATAGTGTTTAAGATTATAGTAGCTTCATAGATATTCTTAGTATTCTAAGGATGGCCTGAAAAGTGACACATATGTGGAATGATATACAATATCATATCTGTAATGATAAACCGACAAACTGTAAGTAACCCTTAGCCACCAGCAGAAGAGAGCATCCTGGGAGAGAAAAAAAATATCAGATGGCAACAAAGTGATCTAACTGCACCACCACTGAAGTTTTACAGCAAACTAATTAATGATGCCTTCAGGGAAACAGATGTAAATTAAAAAGACAGACTACGCATTTTGCTAAGATGGTCACTGTAGGAAGGAATATGATCAGCTGGTCAAAATTACTCTGAGTAAAGTGATGCTGCCTTTATTCAAAACTGATCCAGATCAGTGCATTACATTTTTGAAACTCAAGACCAAAGAGGAACTGAAAAGCTGATAAGCTTTTATGGCTGATAAAAACTAGCCTACATTTAAAGTACAAACTTAATGACTTACAATCTCACTGCAGAAGCCACATTCTGGCATCAACGTTACCAAAACCCATGAGAAACCAGAAAGAACACAAACAACTCATGTCATTCAAATCCTGCTTTTCTTGATAAATTTTAACCTAACAAACACCCACTACTAAATGCTGCTCATCTAATTTATGCCCTCTCTCCTACTGAACAGGGATTTACATTAAATCTTGACCTTGTGACATGTTGGCATACATGTGGGGCCAGGAATCTTGACGTCTTCCCAGGCAGCAGCACATGAGAGCCCACTTCTCTTGGAGACACAGAGGGACTTCAAGCTTTGAGCCTTTAGCTAAGGAAAAAGAGGCACAGTGCTTTCAGTTGAAACTAATGCTTTTCTGTGTTTTACACTTTCCTTACAAGGCAGGGGAGGGCGATCGGCTCAGTTTCCCAAATAACTTGTAGGCTCTGTTGTTGTGCATCACAGTGGTGTCTCTGCAGCAGGAAATCACGTCTTACATGACCCATGCCATGGCACAAGGATACATGAAATGGCCTGGGGGTTCCAAGCCTGATACCCAGCGTGTGGTGTAGGCTGTAAGAAACCTGCTCTCACTGCCTGCTAGGGATGGCCCTGTTACAAACCACCACTGAACCCACATAAGGACATTACCCAGGGAACCACTAATATCCACAGGCCAGAGTCATGCTAGGACACATTAACATCCTCAGCAGACTCTAAACTTGAACAGCCTGGTCTTGTCAAGCTGGGTTTCACTGAGTGACACTGGTCCAGCTTTGGGCCCCAATGCAGACACAGCATCCTTGTGTGGCTCTCATCTGCCATGCAATGAAGGGGCTTCAAAGCACTGCAAGGCAGAACCTGTGCTTTTTGGCACTCTCTTTTCCTGGTCAATCTCAGATCTGCTCAAGGGGTGATCCCAAAGATCTATCAGATCACCTCCATCTCAAGGTCTCTCCTTCAAGGTATGCTTAGTACAAGCTCATTTGTGCTTGGAATGGTTGTTCTAGAATAAAGATACATCTTTCTTACGAGCATTGCATCTTTTTCTTCTGATCCTTTAAAAAGCAGTATTTAAGAATGAACTCCTTGCAACTTTAACTTTCAGGTTGGTCTGAAAATTCAACCAGAAATTTTGTCTTCTAAATTTTTGATAGGATCAATGTCTCACATACATTTTACAATAAAGACTTTATATCTGGGGTGTAAGAACTGCTCAATTATTTTCTTCTCAGTAAAGACTTGTGTTTTTGGCAATAGTAGACTCATTAGGTCAAACCCTCTTAAGAGTAGATGCTGTAGGTCTAAGTTCACAATAGACAGCTATGATACTCCTTGAAACCTTTCTTCACTTTATATCATATTATTGCCCTGAAGCAGGTATCTTAATAGCCAGGAACTGAGTGAATATGTGCTGGTGTTTCTAAATATGTTAGTGGAATTTAAAGCCGGACATGGACTTTGGATTTAGTTAAACACCAGTGAAACTAACAATGACCATCAACTTTCTGTGATTTCTAAAGCTTATGGTGTCCCCTCCCAACTTTTCTGTTCATTATGTTACTACTAATTAAGACTAGAGAATTGAATTGATCCGTGACCAGGTTATTACACACTCAGAGACATTACACTGACTTAAACTTCTCCTTAATTCATCATTAGGAAGCACAGTCATGTGCCAAATTTGACCACACTTCATCATATTACACTGTTTGTCTTAAAAAACACAAAGATGGTGCCATTACCAGCAGAAAATCCTTTCCCTGAGAGGACATCACACTGCATGAGTGGTTTCTCTCCAATATCTACTTCATCTGAGCATACTACACTTTGTGGGCTTCCAAGAAAATGTGAAAGATAAGTGAATTACTTCTGCTGACACTGCTACTTCAAAGCAAACCAAGAGCAGTATGTCCTGCTCTGCTTTGATCCTTCCCTCAGAGTTTTCAGCCTTGGATTGTCCCTTAGCAGTGGGAAGATAGCTCTTAAACTTACATGCACCTGAGGCAACCTTTAAAAACTGTAAACATATGACTATTTATTATCATTAATGGTCCAATATGACACTCATACCCCCAGTGGTATCCCAACAAAGTCTCATTCTTCTCTGCAGATGATCAGACCTTATTATGGGCTCTACGAAAACCACATTTCCACACATTGGTGACTCACCACTTCAACTCCTCCTGCACAGGATCTTCCTCCAGAACACCATAATCAGAATCAGAACTATGATGACCACTAGAAGCACTGCAATAATCACCAACCAAAGCAAAGATGATCCCTCTTCTGTGAAAACAAAACAACAAAACACTTGCAGCAAATTAATCTAGCTTATTGAGAAAAAAAGCAAAACGAGCCAAGAGGATGTCTGATTAATGACAGCAGTTCCTCTGATATAGTTAAAGGTATTGCTAAGGTAAATGAAAGCAGCAATTGATCAAAAGAGAGAATAAACGTATGTATCTTCAAAAAGAAACTACTTGCCCACAGAAAATATGAAGAAAAGATGTGGTTGGCATACACACACAAGCAGAACTTCATACAAGTCTTAATACTTTCAGAAGAGTTTTTTGTTCACCCAGAATTTTATTATTTTTACTTTCAAACACTTAACACTGTTGAAAAGGCAACATTAATTTTAAGAAAAGAAGACAGGCTATGTTTTGCTGCCTGCAAATAGCTCTGCCCAACAGTTGAACATAAATGTTCCTTCCTGGTTAGACATTAGCCTCTTCATTTGACTGCTATTAATCAAAATGTTATACAAGGGCTCATATCACCGACATTAGCTGGAAAATTGTATGACTTGAAATTTATTTGACTAAAAGCATAACTATTATGTCTTTTAACAAAGATATGTTGAACTGTCCATTTCAACTTCTTGTCCTTTAAAATATAAGATTGTTAAAACAACAAGCTGTTAGCTGATTTTTTTATCCACTTAGAAAGAAATAACAACAGTCTTAGTTTTCTGCTTTCTGAGATACATTTTTTTTTAATGACCAAAATAAAAGAATATTGGAGACGGGACTAAAAGATTAATATGCTTTTTCAGAATTGTAATTCAGAATTAAGAACTAAACTGCTTTTGAATGTTTAGAGAGCAGATATTAAAAATCAGATCCTGCTCTTTACTACTATTCCTGTAACAATCACTTATTGAGCATGCAATTGCAGAATTAACCCACAGCTACAAGCTGCTTTTCCTGTCTTGTTAATTTACAAATGGTCTTCAATTTAAGGCTCTGGATATAGAGACGTGAATTTTAAATCACCCAAGTCAATGCTCCTGTATGAACTAAGAATGGTACTTCAGCTTTTAATATCTGCAGAAACAGGGTCAAAGTCTTTCCAGCAGAACAGAATGTTAGAAGAAGAACTAAAATTAACACTACAAGATACTCATATGTTACATTAAGGTACTTAAGATTTCCATATAAATCAAATGTAAGAATCTTCAACTGACCCCCTCCCTGTATGCTTGAAAGGAGTATTCCTCCCTGACCATTATGGACATGTGCCTTAGCAAAAAATCAAAGAAGCTAAATCATAATATACCAGTTAAATACAACAAAACATGCAGTAAGTTGAACTGAAACATTTGATTCAGAGAGTTTGATATGAATTTCAAAATTTCCGAGTTCATCAAGCAACCCACAGAGTTTCTACTCATCTTTCTACTCACAGATATCAGCTGACATATTTATATTTATTTTTAGACTGTTAAAAAAATTATGAAAACCTGTGTAGTAACCTATGTTCAACTTGCTGCAAAATGCATAGTGCCTTTAAACCCCGTATCTCCCTAGCTGATTAGTCTGGCTTTTTTTTCCCTCTTGGATAGGACTCCAATATGTAAGTACCTCAAAGACAGCAATGGATGCAAGTAGAATTTCCTGACATACACACATCTCATTCCCTCCTCTTCCCAGAAGATTCCTATCCAAATATGCTACTGCAAAACATGTAAGCCAAGAGAAAGTTAACAAAACTTAACAAAAGTTAACAAGAGAAACTTGCTTGTACTGCTCACTCACCTCCTTTTATTTTCACAGGCAATTCAACTGCTTCATTTGTGTTGCTTACTGTGCAGGTCAAATCCCTTGCACTGATGCTTGGAATGTTGTAGATTTCCAGTTTACTGGTGATGGACACAATCCCATTTTTGTGCTTGATTCTCTTATGTGTAGGAGTAGAATTGAACAGGTTGTTCCAGGTGATGTTGGGCTCTGGGAGGCCATGAGCTTTACAGATGACTATCAAACGACCTTCAGAAATGTTGTGATGGACAGATGCATTGAGACCTTCCAACACACAAATGAGACAGGTCATCACCACAGTGAACACCTGGTCATAAGCTATAGTAGCAGCCTAACCATTAGAAATCAGAGCAAAGCTGACTGGATTCACACTGAGCTCAATGGCAAGGAATGCAAGAAGAGGTCCGTGGGTCAGGTCCCCACCACGACTCAATACTCCTTCCCCCACACTGAAGTTATATACTGTTGTAATAAATCATGCAAAACTCTATTTTCTTCATGTAGGAAAAGCCAATTCTTTATTCACATAATACATTTTTATATAGTTTTTACAGACTTCGTGTTTAATTGGTTATTAGTTTTCTTACTACTTCATTTATTGGTCAGAGTGTGATTTTGTGTGTATGTGCTAAGGTTCAAGTGTTTACATTTTTCTTCTGTGGGTTCTCATGGGACAAACCTTATTGTTTACACATGTGCACTTGCTTTGCAGCCAGGAATAAGTTGTTGTGTTAATGAACTTTTCATACTAAGATCATTTCCACATGGGAACTTGCAAGCTGCAGTTAGAAGTGACAAGCTAGCTGTAATTTAGCAGAGCAGGCCTGATTTTATGAGGCCTTTCTTTTATAATTTCTTTATCTGCCTAGGACAATATACCCCAAAGATTTCACCCTGAAATCCAAGTATTAAAATAATCTGTTAAGTGAAATAATTTCTTGGTCCTATCTGTTAATTCCCTATCAAAGGTAGGGTTTGGCAGAGCAGCTCACAGCACTGGGATTGTACCTTGCACCAAAAGGAAACTGCTATGGGCAATGTTGGTTTGCCCAAGTTCCATCTGGGACTGATCAAGGGCTTACAAAGATTCTACTCCTTGCTTTTCAGCTGCTACTCATGGAATAACAAGCAAGAGCCAAAACGACCACAATCGTCTTGAATAAGACCCACAGAGTTTTGCTCACAGCAGTAGTGCTGTTTGTACATCATGTTCAACCAGGGGATGTTCCTATCACTGCAGTTCTTAAATCTGCTCAAAAAAATTACTGTGGGTGAGAAAACACCTCTTATTTCACTAGAGACATATCCCTGCAGAGAACCTCACCAAAAACACGCAGGCAGATATTTCCTGACAAGGAGCCCAAAGGGTAAGCATTGAAGAGACACTTGTAGCATCCTGAATCATCCATTCTAGTGTCCCAAAAAGTTATGCTTGTCTTGTTAAGTTCTAAACTTGTGAAGTTCATTCTGTCTTTATAGGGGTCATGAATCTTTAATCCGTTTGCTTCACTGTATGTAGCTATATTATCATTTGATCCTTCTGAGTCCTTTTGCCACGTCACTTGCACAACATCCTGGGGTTCTGTCAGGGCACAGCTCAGAGTTGCACTGTCACCCATCCTCACTTCTATGTGTCCAGCCTGTGGAACCACTGCAATGACAGTAAACTGTAAATTAAATGGCAGATATCGCACATATTCAGAAGCTTAATGTTGATTCTAAGGCCTGGATTACCCACAGACACAATTTCTTCAGTTACATCCTCTTTCTATGGCTTTCCCCTACAAAACAGTCCATCTCCTGCATACTCCTAGAAATCAATTGAGTTATGTTGATTTACATTGGCTGAGGCTTTAGCTTTCTTCTAAGCTCCTTAAAAGACAGAAAGACTTACCTATTTCTGTACCCATATCTGCAGACTTCCTTCTTAAGTCTTACTAAATCAGCTCCTGACTTCCTATGCTCAGCAAATACTCGATTTTTGTTCCCTAAGAGCTAGAGGAAGTTTGAATGCATAAGAGAAGTATACACCAAGCCAGAGTGTATATATACTCACTTATCAGAGAAGTTAACAACAAAATGCCTTTAAAAGGCTTTTTGAACTATATTTTCAGAGTTCATGGTGCATTCGAGATGAAGGGAATGAAGTTCTTCAGGGATTCCCCACTCTTGGAAGCTGTCAACTCAGATCAACAATGGTGTCCAGTGTCACTGTAGATATGGAATGCTTCTTGTCCCTCCCATCTCTAAATGCTGCTCTGGGAGGTTTTGTGTCACAACTACCAGCTCCATGTCTCTGTCTCAGCTATGTACATTAAACAGCAGCAGCAATCTGTATTTCACCTATTTTTGTCTCTTACTCTGTTGAAGCCTCAGAAATAGGAAACCAGTTCCCCAAACAATTTCAATAAGATTTCAGGAAATTCAACTTACCATCTGCCTTTCCAAGCCCAGAATATGCCAAACACAAAACCAGAATTTGTAAAGTCATTTTGGAAGAAAATATCTGCTTCGCCTAAAGAAAGACAAGGTGAGATGACAGATCATCTTCTGATGATATTGTACATTCAGAGTGCAAAAATTAAGAGAAGATTTTTCATGTGAAAAGGAGTGTCATTCTGGGGTCAGACAGCAAGGCTTGACAAGTCTTATTGCCCTGTTTCCTACAATGGAATTGTAGATCTGCCTAGAACTGAAGCTGGTGTTATATTCAAGTGGAAACACATTTTGCAAAAAACATGCCTCTGTAACACACTCTACCCACTGCCGAGTTTTTTGGCCAATGCCTGCAAAAGTAGCTGACACATCTTGGGACCATCTTCTGTCAAGAATGTAAGCAAAGCCCAGCCTTTTAAAGGTTTTCACTATATGCAAAAAACAAAAGAGACAATCAACTGAAAAGCATTTTCTATATAACACAGGTTAAATAAGAGGGCTGGTAAATAAATAAATAAATGGAAGAAAAAAGGTATTTAAAAACAAATTGCCAGCAAACTTGCCTACACACTGCATATATCTACAACCAGTAACCTGGTTAAATTTTTAATATACTAAAAGAATGCTAAAATAACTCCTGATATAACTCTCCAGTTACCAAGAATGAATAGAGACAAAGTTGTTATGTGCAGAAACAAGAACCCATCAGCAATGAGCCCAATGAAAAAAGTTTGTGTAGTCAGATATTTAAGCACAGCTATAAGAAATTCGATATATATTCCTACAAGCATGCTGAAATCAAGGGCCAGCATAGCAAGCAGAAACTACCGAGTCACAGAGTGGTTTATAAAGCAGTGGAAGATGTACCACAGCTGCAGACAATCAGAATTTTGAATAACGATCTTTTGCTTCGCTGCTTTAGTACTCGTTAAAGCCCTAATGCACCACTGCACACTACCTGGGGTAGCTACAAGAATTCACATAATGAGGGACGAGGCTATATATACCGTGTAGCTATAACACAGCAGCTATACCGGGCATAGAAAAAAGAAGTCCCTTTAGGTCATAACCCCACTTGTGAGTGCTGCGGGCGGTGGGAAAACAAAAAACCCAGAAGGAGCAGAAGTAGAAGAAAAAAAAAAAAAAACAACAACAAAAACCCCCAAAAACCTTAAAGGCTGGGGCAAGTAAAGCTCAATTCCTTTACTGTGCCTTCCCCAACCGCACCTCGGAGGGCTCCTGAGCCACGGGCTGTGCCCGTCCATGGACAAACCGCTCCCCCGCCACTTTCTGGGAACCACCTTTAACTTCCAATAAACTTTTACCCTCCTGGCACCACACAGGGTTCCGAAGGCAGCTGCCGACTGAGCTTGGCACCTGGAGGACCCTCCCGGCTAGGAAAGACGGAGGAAGGAGCGGCGAGCCGCTGCGACGGCTGCACCCATCCATCCATCCTTCCATCTATCCCCCCGGCGGGATCCCGCTCCCGGCGGCGCGGTCAGGCTGACCCGCCCGGCACGCATTGCTCACCTCCGCTCGAAACCCTCCTCAGACCAGCGGATGCCTCCGGGAAAGGCAGCGAGAGGGATGGCTGCTCACGGCCAAGTACTTGGAAGCAGGAAGAAAGATGGAATGAGAGCCCGGGAGGCGAGAACTCCCACGCCGCACGCAGTCGCTTTTCCCGGAGTTGGGGAAATCCCGATACAGCGGTGAGCGCTCCTTCTTCCCAGGGTACTGGAAACGGCTAGCTAATTGTTTTGGGCTGTTTATCTTACATATTTGGGAGTGGTCTTTTGCTTTCGTTGCTACGCTTCCTCTTGGGTGGGGAGGGAGTAGCGCGAGTGATACTCTGCTTGTTTTTATGTTGCTAGAATAGGATTTTCCACAGATAAATTCACATCAGATAACTTATCAGACCTTTTTGCAGGATTGACAGAGGTAATCCATCTCCCAGCCTGATTAATTAGCAACATCGTTCTTAGGACATTCAGTGCCTGCTCTTTTTTCAAATGCGTTCATACACATATACATGTTCATACACTGTTCATACCAGTTGCAACATTTATCTTGCCAGGCTCTAGGTGGTCTCCTGTTTTAAACCATCATCACTCACAGGAAAAAGCAAACACCACAATTTCAACCCCCTGCCAAAATTAATCGACAAAGATACACACATAAACCCAGAAACTCATTATTATTTTAGACAGAGATGTGTGGGAAACTTGGAACAATGCTACTAAACTGTCTTAAGGAAGAAGGTGAGCTTTTCTGGGTCACCCCGGGCTCACCGAGTGTTAACCTTACCTGTCCTGCTGCTCTCGGTGCACAAAGGAGTGCCTTTTGACCTGGAAAAATAGAAAGCTTCTGCTGCTCCCAACAGATCTAGCCTAATTTGTAGCTGGGATCTGGAGGTCAGGGAAGTGTCTCTTCCAGATGGATAGAGCTGTACTTGAAGACACCTTCACGACCACTGTGCTTGACTTAGTGCAGCCTTTTCCCCCTACCAACTAACTAACCAAAGCACTCTGGCTTCTCAACAAAATTTCAATATTACCACTATCTTTATTTCTACCTTTCTTTCTATCTCCTAGAATCAATCACTACATCTTAAATCACTTAAATTTCCCTCTGTCAGCCTTCCCCTTTTTGTTCTCTCTAAAACAGGCCAGCAATAAACCTACCAGTTGTTTGAGACTGATGTACCTACACACTCCACACTCTATTTGTTTTAATGAGAAAAATGCACTAACAAGTTTCTTTTGTGCTTTCACTATAGCTGAGGGGATTTTAGAGAGAAGTCCAGAGGACTGCCTACTGCACAGATGAAAAAAAAAAATCATCAAGAAGTTCCCTGTACCATCAAAGCAACAAAAGGAGGGAAATCCCACTGAAATCTTCCTGTTCTTATTTCATGAAAATAAAGGGGACTTTGGGGGGATTTGAGGGATATATTATAGTAACTCACATCTACTGAGGTGGAAAATGTCTGTATTTAGGCAAATGTTATTACTTCTTCAGTGGGCTGGAGAAACCTAGAGAAGAAAGAAGAAAATGTTGAAAGGGTCTGTAAAACAAGGCTACTTCTTTAGAAGAGAGGGCATAAATTAGAGTTGAGCAGGGAAAGGATGGTACTGAAGTAGTAGGCAAAGACCAGAGGTAACCTCAGGGCAGACAGAGGCAAATGAAAAATATTCCAGACAAACCAACAGTGGAGGAAGATTCAAAATATTTTTTATATTTACAGGAGAACAAGGCACAAAAATCTCCTTCTGCCTTATTCTGTGATCTAATGTCAACTGTTTATTTTTACAGGAACCTGGCTCAGCTCAGCAATCTTTGGCAAGTTTCACAAGGTATGTTATTTCTCTGGACCGGTGGTAGCCAAGGTGACATGGACTCTCTGGTATGATAAGTCCTTTGAAGTTAGTGAGAAAGAGAGAAATTAGATAGCTCTTGTCCTAAAATCCAGAAAGGTCTCTGTTAATATTTTTTATTTATTTTGCTGTAATACACCACGCATGCTGGTGGAAGGAGCAATTTAAAATTCCTTCTGTCACAAATATATATATCCTTGATTCTTTCCTCTGCCTTCTGGGTGGACACATTCCACTACTAATATATTTCTTTATTCTTCCCTTGATTTCTGGACTACTGACCTCTTATAAGCAGAGCCATTTGAGCCACTAGCCAGTGAAACCTGTACAGGCTTAAGGCAAGTATATGATACAGCTGATCTGAGTCGCTGTTATTTAACAGCAAAAAGGAAATAAAAAAGGGTGATTGGAGTCAGAGAAACAGATTCCAGTAAAACCAAACACAGTAAGTTTTACAGGACGTACTGCCTACTGGAGGTTTATACCAGAACATCTGCTCTGCTGATTGAAATCCTGTCCTGGGGTGACCTTGTGATGTTGAATTGTATCCCCATTCGTCTGTTCAGCCCAGAAATAAGTTTTGTACCTTTAAGGCTGGATTTGAGAGTGAAAGGGGGGGAGAAGAAGCTGTGGAATGTCTGAGGGAGTTGTTTTCAAAACACAGAAATAGGAGTTTCATTGCTTCGTCTCCTGGACTGTGTCACCGTGGTGGACAGCGGAGAGAGCTCTCCTTTGCTTTTAGTTAATTTTTGACTAACTGAAGCAGAGAAAATCTCTGGAAAGTTTTTTCTTTTTTCCTGGAATTATTTGAACCTGCTCTGGGCTGGGGACCCGGGGGGAAGCACCTGCAGTCCACCAGGGCCTGGCCTGGGCAGCGGCATTTTCCAGCACCGGAGGGACTGAGAACAGACTGAGCCGAGCTGCCACCCACAGGAGAGAGACTGTCTGAATTTGTCATCTCTTCAGAGCAGCGAGAGGTTTCACTGCTTGGTGTTGTTCATTTTTTTGGGCTGGGCAGTGCTTTGCCTGTTGAATAAACAGGTTTTTTCCACTTCTCTCTGAGGAAATTTCTTCCCAAACTGGCTGGGGGAGGGGCATCTTGGATTTGCTTCCTGGGGTGGTGTGTTGGTTTGAAAGTAAAACCAGTGCGAGACTCCAA